ACAACTAAACTCTGAAATGCACTTTAGCACCTTAAATTTAAGACGCACAATGTGTAAATAGTGTTTATATTTTATTATGCTTTGTATAATTGTTTTATAAAAGGCTCAGGTTGCTAACAAGCACTGGCTCCATGGCAATCATGCTGTCTATTTACTGGTAGTTGGTTTTGCTTGTGCAGAATTCAAGGTGCATCTGAAGACACCTACTTGAGAGCCTGTCTCCTGCTCACACTGCTGCCAAGGAACTCGCATCATTTTGGAGGAAGTCACAGAATTTCCATCCTTCAGGAAGCTTGGAATTAATAAAGAAGAAGCGCCTATCAAGGGGTACCAACTGAGGTCAACTTTTCTCTTTTTCTTTTTTGTTATGATAAGTTATTTGTGATTATCTTATATGACTGCTGGAAGCAGAAGAAAAGCACCTTAGATAAGGCCAAGATACTTTTACTGGATTATATTCAGGTAAATAATTTTTGTCAGTGGTCCTTGAATTTGGAGGGAGTGAGATAATAAAGAAACCAGGGAAAAGGGAAATTAAGTCACAAATAAAAAAACTCCTCAAAAAAATTCAATAAGAAATAATAACTGAACCAAAGAAATAAACCTTCAAGTTTTAACATTCCAGGGTTGCATCTTAAATCAGATCTCCAGGAAAGGTAATAAAGCAATGGACAATAAATAGTGTGGAATCAGAGAATAACAAGAACCAAGTGAATGCCAGTGAAATAAGTAACATCAGAAAATCCATTCTTGTATTGCTGCATTTGTTCATTTAGAACACAAGCAAAAAAAATAAACATGGACATTAAGAAAAATTACCAAAAAGACATTAAGAAACATTACTAAAAAATTAATTTACTGTAGTAAATTAAATAGCAAATGGACATTTTTTATTCCATGATAATTTGAAATTTTTATATTTTATGTTACGCTTTGCCAGATCTTCAGCAGTATTAAGGCTAAGATAAACTCTAATTGACTAGAAATCACAATAACAGCATATCTGATCAACAACATTGATCATGCTGATTGCTCTTCATGTAAATGTAAAAAGCAAAAGCAGAAGAGCTGTGCTTACTTTGCAATGGAAGACCAAAAAAAAAACCCAATAAAACCAATTATCAAGGATATATGATGCTAAAAACAAACAAATAAACAAACACCCCTGGATTTTATTATAAAAATAAAACCACAGTGSAAATCTGAGAAGACTTATGCTAAGTATGCGTCCAACAAAACAGTGTTCTCTGAGCTTTTCAATCACCTGCAAAAAGCTCTGCAGTATCTCTTAGCATCTGGAGCCTGAACAGCAGAACGGATCAATACTCTCATTTTCATCTCTGGAGACAAGAACTTGAGTAGGAATAAAGAGAAATAAGGCCATTTCTGGCTCTATGGAGTCAGCAGAGCCAGGGCTTTGCAGGGCTCCAGCTGCGTGACGGGCACTCGTGCACCGGGACAGCGCGAGCTCAAAGGAGCGCCCTGCAGATGCTCCGGCTGCGGGTCCCGCGGAGACCCAGAACGGGACCCTCTGAGCCACATCTGGATCTAGCTGCTCCAGGAATTTTCACTTTTATGGATGTGAAGAATCATCGGTTTCAGAGGGAAAGAGAAAGGAGCCTGCATGTGCGTGCAGAGTATTTTCGCTATGAGGCTACATTAAATATACCGCTTTCTTCCTCTAAAGCTGGTGCCAGAGGAAGTTTAGTAGAGCACAAATCCTATTATCAGGCCTCTGCTTGAAAACTTTATTTCAGGGAACGTATTTTTAACGAACAAACAAACAAAAAAGTGTGTTTAACRTGTCACAAGTAAGAACAAAAAACTAATGTAAAAAAGGATTATTTTTCTCTAGCATGTTTTTGAAGCTGCAACAAAATTGTAAATATATTTCTTCCGAATTAGAAAACGAGGAAAAAAAAAACACCCCAAAAAACTAAATGTCACACACTCCACAGTTTTCCTAAGAATTTTAAATCAGCTGGTAGCCTTCACTTCTCATACCTCTTYACTAAAAAAGCACTAGGGAATTGCTGACAGGGTTCAGCATTGTGTAGAATATTAAATATCTTTTTTGCAATACCCTAGTGACTCTTGAGTCTGTCTCTTACTGCACCATATGTACAGCTGTGTTGGAAAGAGGAAGCTATTAAATATATTAAAAAGTAGAAATATTACCAATAGACACTTCATCAAATAACTGGATCTCATTTATCCCCAAACAAAGCAAGAAATGTTAAGGTTACATCAACATAAGAAAATAACTCTGGATTTAATAACACCACAAGCCTGTTGAACATATTTGAAAGTAAAAACATTGCTTAATAAAACAGATTAGTGTTCTTGAAACAATGAATACAGCCTTCGAGCATCAGAATTCTTTGGTAATAAAGACATTGGACTCGGTCTTGAAAGGCACAGGCTATCTCAGTTCCCACACTGCAGTCACAGCTAAATGGTCTTCAGGTCCAAAATCATTACATTTAGTCTATGGCAAACTTAGGATTCAAAAGAATGTATCAAAAGGATTTAATTAAAAGGAAAAAAAAATCGAGCAAACGCATTGGCCTGAGAACACAGTTGGGTATATATTCCTAAAGGTTTGCCCTCCTCTCACATGCACGTATAAATATTGTATCCACACGTCGTCAACTAACGTTTAAAGAAAACAACAACACACGTGCACTGCATGAGGACATAAAGGCAGACGACCACATTAACTTTTCAAAACTCAAAGACTCAGAATTATTTTTTCAGAAGAACTTAGAGGCACCTTTTTCTAGGTTTCTAGGCATCAAAAGACCCTGTGAGAACTAGATTTTCAATARTTTTCTCTTGAAGGAATTTAAATGAGCACGGAGTGAATACGAGCTGCCAAAGCCCCACTACCTGCCTACCTGCACATAGGCACGACTTCCACAAGGATGGCTGTTGGGCCCTAGAACCCCAAGACCCATCAATTTTTAATAAGATTTGCAGATTTAAATACTCCATTAACTTCTGAAAACAGGCCTGGGGCTGTTTGGAAAATGTTCCCCCCGGACCTCCCTTCTGAAGTCTCGCTCGCAGGCAGCGGAGCCTCCGCACGGAGCCCAGGAATTGCAGAGGGAAGCGGAGTCTAGGGAAGCAGAGCTGCACTTCTACATGGGAAGCAGCACGGCAGGATGTCCTCTTTCAAACTCAAGAAGGAATGACACAGTAAAGAACACGTAAAGTCAAGGCTATTGCAGCTTCAAATAAAGGAATACTGGAAATACTTGAAAGTGTAATCAGCTCTCCCAAAGACAATGTTAATTATGTCAGTTAATTTTTGCAATAATCTTGTGACATTCCAACACTGTTTTCAGTGAAGTGATACAAAAAGGGATGGTTCCATAAAAAAAGTGCCTTTTTTGATGTTTTGGGGTTTTTTAATCACAACGATGCTCGAATAAGTTACATTTTTTCTGCCAGTTTATGGGTCTCTCCCTACTTGGTTTCTGGATTTAGTATCATTTTACAGCACTCATTGACTTTTCTGCAGACTAGATGGATCTATAAACTAAACCAGTTGCCTACCAAGTTGCAAAATAAGTATTTCTAATCATCAATGGTAATTTAGATGTATGTCTGAAGAGCAATGAACCCTCTTGAATCCAATGTGAGCAGAAATGAAGACCATAAGGCTACAGGCATTACCATACTGCAGAGAGACTACTGGGTTGCTTTGTCCTTAAGAAGAYGGGCAATCTTTGATCTGCAACCCTAGTTAACCGCTGCGCATCAACAGAACTGGGTTTTTCAGATGGTGTCTGCAGAAACAGCAGTGTGGTCCAGGCTCTGATCAACAAGACATGGCTGGTGTTGCCATCACCATTAGTGTCTCCAACTGTCTGCCCTGATGCTCTGCTTCCCAGCAGGGTCAGCAAGGATAAAATGCACCAGCATCTTCATCACGTCACTGCAGCCTCACACAAACCCACCATCGCTTACAGTTTTGGCAGAAATATGAGATCTGCCAGCAGTTGTATGTCGTTGCTTAGGGATAAGCAGCTTTGAGCTCTCCACACTGTTCTTGTATCGCTTCTTCAGGACAAGTATAAAAAAAAAAATGGGGATAATACGAATAGCGTAGGGACACAGGTGTAATATGAACATATGTCAAGCTAGAGAGATGCTTTGTACTGCTCCTACACAGTTTATTCCCATATACTGATATGTGATATCCTTGTGCAACCATGTCCACAAGAGAGATTATACAAGTGTCTTTACTCTAATTGAAAACTAGATCTACCTCACCCCAAAGTTAGATACATCTACACACAGCCTAATAAACTGCCATGAGGATTACACTTTTAACTTTCTCTTTGCATTCTCATGTCAGAGCGTGCTGGCAAATCACAATTTTATTTGACAAAAGACCACACAGGTGGTGATGGAGGCTCCTATAATAGCAAATTTTTTTCTTCAGTCTTCTTTTCTTCAGAGGCCTGTGCACAGCAGCTTGCAGGATCCGGGCCTAAGCCTGAGCAGGATCAGAAAAGCATCATATAAGGGTATAAGCTTTCACTCAGTCACTAAGCTGTAAATAAAAATTGTTAATACATTTGCTTGCAGCAATTGAAGAAAAACAATTTTAGAGAAAATGACACCAAGCTTCATGAGATACAGAGTTCAGACCGGGGTTTGAGCTGAATGTGGATACAGCACCAGGCAGAATGACAAAATCATTAAGAGAAAACACATAGCAACGAGACCATGCTGCAAATACTCATTTCTGCAAAAAAYGTTGGTATTTACTGTTGGTGTCCTCCTCTGCACAGGCCAACCACGGTGACTACAGGAAGCTTCTCTTTGGAGGAGTCAGTCCCCAAGACCAAACCTGCTAATGTCAGGGACTGGGGCACATCAGAGCAGCACCCTATTTTCATATCAGAGCACTTTGACATTACAGTTCTCATTATAAAAAAAAAAAAAAAAWRAKGARSAACAATTATAATGGAAAAGCAGCTGTCACTTACTCCGTTTTCCTCCTTTGCTTGTCCTCGAAGACATCATTGAGGCTTATTGCCACCTGTCCCAAAAACTTGTCCAGCCCCACRAGCGAGCGGTGCATGACCAGCAGGTAGAGCACGTATTTCTCGGGGTTCTCCTGCATGAGCAAGCCGGGCAGCTCGAAGGAGGCCTCCTCCTTCCACACGGGCTCCAGGGTCTTCTCGGCCACCGAGGTGGAGTACTTCTCCTTGCCCAGCTGGATGATGGTGTAGGCGTCGTTGGTGCCGCCCTTGCCCTTGGCCTTGAGCCCGCGGGCTTGCAGCACCGTCACCTGCACGTGCGTGGGGAACCACTTCTGCGCTTGCTCCGCCAGCAGCATGGCGGAGGGGCTCGCGGGGGGCCCCGGCCGCCCCCCAAAGCCACCACACGGAGAGCGGGGCGCCCCGCGCCGCCGCACCGAGAGCGGGGAGCCCCTAGCGCCCCGCGCCCCGCGCCCGCCGCCCCATGGCGCCGCGCCGCCTCAGTGCGAGC